CCCGCCCCGCCAGCGCCACCCACTGGCCCGTATATGCCTCTCAGTCAAGACCCAAACAGTCACAATGCAGAAAAAGACCGACAACCCACCGTGGTCTGTGAAGAAGAGCTGGCTGGGCCTATCAGGATGCCAGTCCATCCCCACCACGTTGCGCAGCCCTGGATGACGGTTGCAAAGGCGTGTGCGGGCGTGCGGGGGCGTGTGTCTGATCGCAGCAGAACGAAGACAGACAGATGGCAGCAGAACGGAGACAGACAGACAGACAGACAGACAGACAGACAGACAGACAGACAGACAGACAGACAGACAGAGTGTGTGTGTGTGTGTGTGTCACACACACACACTCTCTCTCTCTGCACAAAGAAGTATGACTGTTGGATGCTGTGGCATGCAAGCAAAAAAGTGGCCTGTACCCTCAACCCTGAAGGCTGCCAGGCAAGAACAACTGACCTCGTGCGAACAGGTTGAGATCGCCGTTTGTGGTGTTGATGGTGTATATGGTCGAGTACACGATGCCCTGCGGGGACCTGTCCTCGGGACACACATTGCAGGGCGCCCCCACAGAGACGTACAGCAGGCCGTCGTCAGGGCTGAAGCGCGCATACCTGGGAAAGGGGTTTTGAGGGTTGTGTGGGGTGGAGGTGTGGTCCACGCGCGCTTGTGGCGGAGGTGTTTCATTGGGGGACGAAACACCTAAGACTGAGTGCGCATCTCAGGCGCACCAGGGGCGGGTCTAACATGCACGAGCGGCCGGCGCAGGCACCCAGCAGCGGATGACCCGCTTGATGCGACAGGAAGGACAGCGCCGGCAGGGCTGCAGGCTGGGGCTGAATCACGGGTCAGGTGTGGGCGCAGGGGCCGCAGGGGCCGGTCTGGAGGGGGCCGTGAGGCGTCGCACCTGGCTCCGTGCCAGCGCGCAGACGGAAGGCGATTGGTCACAACTTCCAGCTTAGAGTTGGGGAAGCGCTGCCGCGCATCAGCGGGGAGCAGAGCAGGGGCAGGAAGAGCGGGGATGGAAAGGACAGTCAGTGAAATTGCGGTGCCGAGCTGCGGGTGCACAGCCGCACGTGAGCCATGGCCGGGCAGCGCACGGGCTCGGCGCCCCGGCGGTGACTGCAGGCTTGCAGTGTTCTGATACACTTGAACCCCGGGGGTTTGCTTCCGCATCAAAGCCTTGTGGAGGTGGAAGAAGCCACAGCCGTGCCCCACCCAAGCTGATACCGCAGGATCACGAGATGCTAGTGCAGCTAAAAGCAAGCATGCCGCGCCCGCGGCGCAGGGGGGGAGGGCGGCGTATGGTGGCGCGCGGAAGACTTGAAGAGTTGACACGGGAGAGGAGGGTCCCAGCAGCTCACCCGGCCTGCAAGGGCGTAGCTGTCTATGCCGCGGGCACGCCACACAATGCCGCGGCCGGCCTCGTCCCACCCTGTCACGTACAGGTCACCGCTGCGTACAAGATGTGTGCAAGCGCACGTTCATGTGTTGGCATGTGCGTGTGTGCGTGTGCACGTGTGTGTAGGTGTACGTATGCTTGAGGGAGGAGTGAAGTGTATGAAAGACGATACAGGGTGCGCACTGCCTCACCACGGGATCAGGCCGCCTTTTGTTGGGGCGGGGCGCCACAAATCAGACCTCATATCAAACCCAGATGCATTCCTGCATTTGTGGTGCCTGCAGCCCCCTTCCCGCCCGCCAAGCACCATGAAGCCCCAAGCCCTGATGCGCGCCCCCAGGGGCCGTGCCGCCCATGCGTGCCCCTCGAGCTCACTCGTGCCAGTCCATGCCCTGCGGCGTGTCCAGTCCGTCCAGCACCACCGTCAGGCTATCAGCTGAGCCGTCCCCATCACTGTCCACCAGAGCATACGTCTTGTTGGCCTTGCTGGGGGGTTTGAAGGTGCGTGTGTGTGTGTGTGTGTGTGTGTGTGTGTGTGTGTGTGTGTGTGTGTGCGCAGTGTGGAGGAGTGTGTCGGTGACACAACTGTTGTAGCGTCTTGCTGGTCGAGTGTTGTTGTGTTGTGTGTGTGTGTGTGTTGCTGTGTGTGTGTGTGTGTGTGCGTGTGTGCGTGTGCGTGCGTGTACGCGCTTGCTAACTCAATTGTGGGCATGTGTTGTAGGTGACGTGGGGGAACAGGTTGCCGCGCAGCAAAGCACTGCGAAGCTGCGTCCAACACCACGAAGACCACACGCGGCCCCGCCGCAATCGCCGCACGGCCTCGACAACCCGGCGGACGCTCACGTGCTAGAGACGTAGCTGATGATGGGCCCGCCCGGGTGCTTGCTGGCGCCGCTGACCGCCAGGCTGCGCGCGTTATCAACCAGGGAGGCGTTGAAGTACAGCCCCACAGCAAAGCCGGGCGGCGGGCGCAGCAGCGGCAGGGCAGACTGCAGCTGCGGCAGCTGCGGGCGCCAGGGGGGGGTCAACGGGCACGATGTATGAGAGAGGGACTGATCACGTGGTCGGATCACTGCAGGTCAAGTGGAGCGGCGAGGGTGGGCGCGGCGCCCGCCGAGGCATGGGGAGCGCAGCAGGCGCGACTCACGCTCCACTTTGTTGGGTCGAGCGTTGACCAGCGCGCTGCCACGTCTGGCGGCATTTCGGCGTCGACCACCACTGCAAGGGCCGGCGCGGCGGCCACCGCCGCGGCCAGCAGCACAGCAAGGAGGCGCCGCATGGAGCACCTTCGGAGGCGGGTGCGCACGACGGGTGTGTGGGCGGCAACCGCAGCGCGGGCCGGTGCTGTTGTGGGAGAGAACGAGGCCGGCTTGCCTCCCGTTGTTTATGCTATGGTACTACAAGTATGATAAGCTGGTCAATTGGGCGAGCGGCAACGAGGCAAAGCTACAAACTGCAGATCAGGGATCGAAGCTGCGATTTACATCATAGTTCGGCATAAGCAGCAGCTTTATAAAAACAACTCTCTCACAGTGTGCCTTTGAACCTTGGCAGCGTTCAGCACCACAGCGCTGGTTACTACGGTAGGGTGAGTGATCGGTTGACACCTGTTCCCCGTGGAGCGCAGTCGCGCGCCTCGCATCCTGGTGACATCCGCCGCCGGTCGCTGGGAGCGCCGCTTCGGTGATCACCATGCGCAATCACCCTTCTGCTGTGAACGACTTGTGACAGGGCAGCTGCCATGGCAGCAATGACCCGCGGAGCTGGCAGCCTGGGCACAGAATTTCAGCTCGGGTCGCCCAACAGCCAGCGGCGCACGGCAGACAGCAAGGATGCGCGGCCGTGGGTAAAAGCGGTACCTCATCCTCAAGGGCACTCCTCATGGCTGGGTGAGTCACCCGTTTGCCAAGCTGATGAGCTTCCTCGCCCCCCCACCCTGACATCCAAATGTTGGCAACAGCAAAGCCCTGCCCGCCATGAAGGCTAGGCCGGGGGCATTGCTGAGAGCTCCGCAGCTGGGCCCTACCAAATCAGCCGTGCAAAGAGTTGCGTCTGTATGCATGCTTGAAGCCGTCGACCTTGACCCTGGGCCGCATTCCCTGCTTTCGAGTTGTGCACAGATCCGGATGTGAGCATTGACCTGCGCAGGCGCGGATCTGACCTGTAGTCAAGCGCTGAACCTAGGCTGCACACCGCGGCTGCTTCGCGCCAATGGTTGATGTTACTACTGCCGGTGCGTTTTGACGCAACACGTTTCGCGCTGACGCAGCCCTCTTTGCATGCAAGCAAACGCACATCGGGCCCGCGGCTGCGTCGACTCCTACGTTCCGTGCACGCACACGTCACTCGCGCTCGCGCGTGGCGCAAAAACCTGTCTGAGACTCCCATAGTGAGCGCACAAACCATTCAAAGCGCGCAAACCACACAAATAACGCTTGAGGCAATAGTCTGTAACGCACTGGTCACAAAGAAGTAGCAGTGCAGAGGACCGGCTGCGTGCAGCGCGCAAATGGCAACACTGCAAGGGTACTGATGAGACAGAGTGGCAAAACAGATCCAGAAAACGGTTTGCCAGGGTTTGTCAAGTCCCCCAAAAGATAGCAGTGGGGCAGTTGGGGCAGTGCCGCGCCGCCTCAAGCGGCAAGCACGGCCATCGATAGCACCAACGAGCCAACCTGTTGCGCGAGTGGGACCAGCGGGTCAAAGGGTCTCACGTTGTTGCAAAGGCACAATAAGCCAGCTCGTTTGAAAGAGTCTAATTGCAATTTTGGCAATGCAGAGGTGATGTACACCCGATGTACCATGCACAACACACCGTGCACCCTTGTCACATTCGCCAAAGCCAACGCTTCGAAAGACGGCCGCCCGCCTGCCTGCGCACCAGCGCCGTGCGAAGCGCGCCACCCGCCGCCATTCCGCGGCGCCCCCAGCCGTCTCCGCTCGTGACCGCCAGCAGCGGCCGCCTCATCATCACTGAAGGGCTGCTGCCAGGTTGGACTGCTACAGCGCCGCCGCCGCGCCCCGCCGCGGCGCCGTCCCCCACATAGTGCAGGCGGTACACCGTGTGCGCCCCGTCATCGCTGATCAGCAGTGACCCATCGGGCAGCTGCTGCACATCTGCCGGCCGGCCCCAGCTGACCTGTTTGGCCTTTGGCGCCCCCCTGGGACCGCCCACAAATCCGGTCAAGAACTCCTCGTGCTGAGTCACCAGGGGCGGGTCGCCGCTGGTCCCGCCGGCGTCAGCTAGGCGAATCGACACTAAGCGGTACCCAATCTTGGATGAGCGGTCCCAGCTCCCGTGCTCGGCGATGAGTATGGTGCGGTCGTAAGTACTGGGCCACGACTTGCCAACCTCCCAGCTGCAGTGTGTGTAAGTGTGTGTGTGTGTGTGTGTGTGTGTGTGTGTGCGCGCGCGCGCACGTGCATACGTGTGAACGTGAGCTTCAGATCCAAAGCTGGTTGAGCTGGCGACCGATGGTAGAACCTGCAGATCCCTTTACGACTCGAGGGCAGCTGCTGTTTACTGCACTGATCAGGCATGGCATGCAGCACGGCGCCCATGGCCTTCAATCACAGGTCCGAGCCCCGCCACAGAAAGAAGGGGCCCCCGCGCTTGCACCCACCGGTAGAATCGCAGCCCCAGGGGGGCGACGTGGGGCCCCAGCGCCTGCACCGGCCGGCGGAATGCCTTCGGGTCTACACAGCGGGCGCGGCAGGGTGCATCAGAGGCAACTGCTGCATGGCTCGATAACGACAGCGAATGTGCCTTGAATCAACGATGCCCGCCCCCTTCCAGCCTGCAGCCACATGACCATGGCTCGCTACCCACACCCTTCCGTCCCCGCCCACGTCACCCAGCCACGCGGCGCCCTTGTCCCGCACAGCAGACGCGCCTGAGCAGTTGAGCTTCTTCTGCCCTTTGTTCAGCCCGGGGTCTGGCGTCAAAGAGCCGGGGCCCGGCGGCCGCAGGTAGGGGTCGCCGCTGCCGTTGGTGTGGCAGGAGGGGAAGCCGTAGAACTCACCCTGCGCTGGAGCCCTGCGCATGTCGCGAGGCGGCAGGAGGAGGCGGGGCAGCGTGAGGCGGGCGGCGGCGGCGCGACATGGCGTGCAGGAGGCATAAGGATGTGCGCTGTGACGAGCCAGGCCAGACGCTGGAGAGCCAGCACAACGCCAGCCGCGCGCCCGATCTGGGCACGAGTGCTTGCAAATAGAGATCAACGGAAGTGTGTACAAAACGTGGGGACCCACATCTGCAGCCTGTCGTCAGGCAGGTTGTCGCCCATACCGTCACGACCTGGCTCGATCAATCAGGGGGCAGGTTGAGTGGATGGGGTGAGGGGACGGGCGGCTCTGCAGCGGCCGCAGTGCAGAGGTGCGGCTGTCCTGTTGACAACGGTACTACCATTGGCAGGGGCCTTGCAAGGGCAGCGCGGCTTGAGCGGGACGGCCGACCGCCTCGGAGCGGGTGGGGGAGGCAGCGCCGAAGCGACGCCCGCGGTGGAGCTCGGGCCGTCCGCCATGCTGGTCGCACACCAGGCCAACCTTACTCTGTGGACTGCCCGCCCAGCATGCATGAATCCGCATCACACCCCCCCCCCCCCACTTCCAGGACCCCCATGCTGGCGCTCTGTCATCGTCATCCTGCCGCGTGCTGACAGCATCATGACTGCGTCATGACTCACCGTGGTCTGTGAAGAAGAGCTGGCTGGGCCTGTCGGGATGCCAGTCCATCCCCACCACATTGCGCAGCCCTGGACGCATGACCATCAAAAGGGCATGCGATGTCAGGAAGGGGAGTGGGGAAATGGGGTTCGAGAATACAAGTTGGGTCAGGCAGCAGCACGTTCAGCAGGCTTCTGGTGTCGCATCGATTATCAGGGAGTATCGCAGCTACACGGAAGGGCGCACCCAGCTCTGGAGCTCAGAGGTTCCTTTGACCTCGATAACAAGGGCAGATGCAAGCAGCGCTGATCAGACAGGCAGCCAAACCCCACACCTCGTGCAAACAGGGCCAGCGTCCCGTCCGTGGTGTTGAGGGTGTAGATGGTCGAGAAAACGATGCCCTCTGGGGACTTGTCCTCGGGGCACACGTTGCAAGGCGCCCCCACAGACACGTACAGCAGTCCATCGGCAGGGCTGAAGCGGGCGTACCTGGGAACAAGGGGGTTGAGTGGGGCCGTGCGTGGGGTGGGGTCAGATTATGGTGGTGGTGGGACGACCGGAGGTGCCCAAGAAGGGGCAGTGCCATCCCAGGGACCCCGGCCAAAAGGGACGCGGCTGGCATGGGAACTGTGGCGCCGAGTGCAGGACCAGCTGACAGCTTGCTTTGCCAGAGGCGTCTGGCGTCTGGTTTGGGCAGGTTGAACTCGTGCTTGGTTGTGAGGCCGAATGCGGGGGGGCCCCCCAAAGCTCACCTGGGCCCGTGCCAGCGCGCCCGCGGCAGGCGGTCAGTCACGACCTCCAGCTTTGAGTTTGGGAAGCGCTGTTCGACAGGGGGGAGGCATGGTCGGGCGACGATAGATGCATGGCGAGTGGTAAAGGGGATGGCAGGAGGCGCCCACCAGGCTGCATGCATCTGCGGCTGTGCGATCGCAGGTAGCGCAGGGCCATGGCGCCAGCGGGTGTTGAAGTGCCGGAGAGCAGGAGGCTATGGTTGTCAGCCGCGCTCTCAAGTGGGTCGCTTTGCTGCAGCAAACGCCCACCTTGCCGGCGAGAGCGTAGCCGTCCATGCCGCGGGCGCGCCACACCATGCCTTTGCCGCCCTTGTCCCACCCTGTCACAAACAGGTCACCGCTGTGGCCCAAGGAGTGGGTGGAGCGGAGGGGAGTGAGTGTTGCTGGGGGCAAGTGCAAGCGCTGCTGCGAGACACATCATACCGCGGTCCACTCAGCAAGTTGCGCTGCCAGCCCAGTAGGCTTGCACATGATGATCTTCCCATCTCAGCCGCAGCGCAAGCGCCAGCAGCCGCGGCAAGTGGCGCGGCCAGCTCTGCGTCCCCGAGGCCGTGCTGCCTGTGCGTGCCGCTGGAGCTCACTCGTGCCAGTCCATGCCCTGCGGCGTGTCCAGTCCGTCCAGCACCACCGTCAGGCTGTCAGCGGAGCCGTCCCCGTCACTGTCCACCAGAGCATACGTCTTGTTGGCCTTGCTGGGGGCAGCAAAGCAAGTGGGTGGGTTTGTTCTGCATGTGTGTGTGCGTGTGTGTGTGTGCGTGTGTGTGTGTGTGTGTGTGTGTGTGTGTGTGTGTGCGTGCGTGCATGCGTGCGTGCGTGCGTGCGTGCGTGCTCGCGAGCGTCGCGTGCATGTGCCATGTTTGTGGCCTCGTGGGCGTCCAAGCAGCACAGGCGATTTCGCCCCACCGCTGCCGCCACCGCCGCACGCGTGCCTCAGGCCGCACGCCGCCCGCCCCCTCAGGCGCTCACGCGCTAGAGACGTAGCTGATGATGGGCCCGCCCGGGTGCTTGCTGGCGCCGCTGACCGCCAGGCTGCGTGCGTTGTCAACCAGAGATTTGTTGAAGTACAGCCCAACGGCAAAGCCGGGCGGCGGTCGCAGCAGCGGCAGCGCTGACTGCAGCTTTGTAAGCTGCACGGGACGACGGCGACGGTGTGTAGAGTTGGGATCGTGAGGGCATACAGCATGAGGCAGGTTCGGACGATGCCGGGGACGGGCGCAGCGCCCCAAGGCAGGGGTAGCGCGGAAGGCGCGACTCACGTTCCATTTCTTAGGGTCAAGCCTGGACCAACGCGCCGCTACGTCTGCCGGCGTGTCTGCGTCAACCACCACCGAGAGGGCCGGCGCAGCTGCTAGCGATGCACCCAGCAGCAGGGTGAGGAGGCGCCGCATCCAGGGTCCGGGGCGCGAGTGCACTTCCGTCAAGTGTGTGGGCGGCGTAGCACGATCGCCGTTGACGCCGCGTTGAGAGCATGCAGAATGATGGGTCTGCTCTGTGGCGCAGGCGCGATGCGGTGATAGTAGATTGGTTTGTTTTCTGATAAGAGAAGTGCGACCTTGCCTAGCTTTTCCTTACGCAATTAGATCGTCGTCACTGTTGCTCAATACCGTAGTGACTTATCCCGGTTAATTCACCTCAGATGGTAGGTTGAGTAGCGAGGCGCTGAGTTAGCCGCGGCAAGGCAAGGGAACACTACTGCCCAAGGCTGTGCGGAGCGCTTGCTTCTGAGTGACGTGTCAACCAGCCAGCAGCCCCTCCAGCCGCATCAGATGCTAGAAAGCGTGCTGTCTCGCTGCAAGTCACCACAGCTAGAGCATTACTTGGATATCAGGTAATGTTGTATGCACGAAAAACTCAAGGTGATTGCAGGAACACACGACACTTTGACCGTGGTTGACCCGCCAGCTCTCACCCAGCTCCTGCCTGAGCAGCAGGCCGCTCGCTCCACCGGTCTCGCCCAGAGTCGACCCCTTCTGCAACATCAACACTGTTTACATCGTTGATTGCTGGCTTAATGCTACACAACAAGACAAAGCTACTAGCTCTGTACCACAACATAATCTTCATCTCACAGCAAATGTGCTCTTGTGCAGTGAGCAGTCCCCATCGTGCGCCCGGCACCCCCTGCGGCCCGCCGCGCAGCACCCGAGCGCGTCAAGGGCCCCACGCCGCCAGCGCCGCGAGGCAGTCCCGCCCCAGGTCAGTGTCTGGCGATGCGTCCGCCAGCCGCTGCGTGCACGCAGCAGGGGCCGCAGCGAGGGGCAACGTCAAGGGGGAGCGAAGGGAGCGCCGCCTGCCATTCACGGAAGGGTCTGCAGGTGCACCGCCAAGGGCCGATGCGGCAGCCATGCCTGAACATGGCGCCTTGACGTGGCTTGAGTTACGACCTCAGACGCTCCCCTGCCT